ACACACACATCCACACACACGGACACGCACAAAACATACACTCTCACACACACAGGAATACACACGTGATACACCCACACACTCACACACAACAGGCACACACAAACACATAAACACACAGACACTCACATAGGGATACACACACAACAGGCACACACATACACCTAAACACACACACACTCACATAGGGATATACACACAACAGGCACACACATACACCTAAACACACACACACTCACATAGGGATACACACACAACAGGCACACACATACACCTAAACACACACACACATGGACACGCTCAAAACACATACACACTCACACAGGAATACACATACAACATGTCAATACACACATGCACACTCACACACACACACACACACACACATATTACATACACAACATGTCAATACACGCATACACACTCACAGACACACACATACACACACACACACACATATTACATACACAACATTTCAATACACGCATACACACTCACATACAGACACACACATACAGGAATACACCCACAACATGTCAATACACTATCAAACAAAATGTAACCAAACTTAAGACATACTCAACTCAAGTATTCCGTTCATAATATAAAGTTATGGTGAACAACAAAAATGCTGCATCTCCTCGAACTGCTAAAAAACTATAAGCACCACATACACACTCTAAACTCATCTACAAAATATCTAAATTACCAAAGAACAACTAAAAATAGAACAATGACAAAATCAAAAACCCAAAATGAATGAAGCTAACGAAACAAATAAATAGCTCCTCCTTTTCCTTTACCGATGCAGTCAGTCCTGTGTTATGAATAATAATGTTAAAATAGCGTTGAAAAAAAGTGCAGCGATGGATTGAAACACAACCTTTTGCTCCATTTGTATTTGTTATGTTATATCCATGGACTGTGTATAGATGGACGATGCTAACCCGCAGGCTAAATGATGCCTAATATTGAAGTGCTCATGGACAAAGTTTTTCTCCCACTCTCTCTGGCTCCTATTGACTTGCATGAAAAAGTAAACTCCTCAAACTCACTAACTGCTTGTGTCACACTCACCATTTTGGGCTTAAAATTCCATGTTTTTATTCAGATCCTCATTAGCTACTGAAATATACAGTAGCTATTCCTCCTGGGGTCTATAGACTCCATGTCACACACATGAATGTGCAATGGATACAAATGAATGTACAAACAAAAAAATATGCTTCAACAATAATACAGATTTGTTAAAACAAAAATACACAGTATTTAGTAGTCTAAAGCAGACTTGGAGATTCTTATCCATGCATTTGTCTCCAGTAGGTTAGACTACTGCAATGGCCTGCTCACAGGTCTGTCCAAACAGGCTGTAAAACAGCTGCAGTACATTCAAAATGCAGCAGCTCGAGTCCTGACTAGAACCAGGAAGTACGACCATATTAGTCCGGTCCTCAGGTCCCTGCACTGGCTTCCTGTGGCTCAGAGAATAGACTTTAAAACAGCTCTGCTTGTGTACAAGTCTCTCCATGGCCTCGCACCAAAATATATTAGTGACATGTTAGTCCCATATGAACCAGCCCGGACTCTGAGGAGCACAGGGACTGGACTCCTGTTAGTGCCCAGAGTCAGAACTAAACATGGGGAGGCTGCTTTTCAGATTCATGCTGCTAAAATCTGGAACAGTCTTCCTGAAGATGTGAGACAGGCCTCCTCTCTGACAATATGATTATTAATCACATTGTGATTTTATGGTATTGTAACGTTTTTTTGTAATCACATTATAATTGTGGTAATAAGGCACCTCTGGATGTTTTTTAACCAATTTATACTTAAGTTTGAATTGTTTTTCAAAATAAAATTTGTTTAATGTTGAAATTTCATTGTAATTTTACAGAAATTTGTTACAGTGAAGCTAGATAGATGGATACTTTCTTGATCCCTGTAGGAGAAATTCAAGTGTCCAGTAGCAGAATAAATAAATAAATAAATTGATCATTCTAAAAAGTTAACCATAGTAATAACAGCCCTTCAGGTCACAGCAGCAGAGATGGAGTAGCCTCTGGGTGGAGCAGGACGGGTCACAAGGTGGAGCAGCCGCTTGGTTTGAACCATTTTCTCTGCTCTGGTCCAAAGTAAAAGGCAGATTATCAGACTTCCTCCAGTGGATTTTCACCTGATCCGCTTGGTTCGGACCATGAATCCGCTCTGCTCTGGTCTGGACCAGTGCAAAACCATGAACACTGTACTGCAGCAACATCTCAGATAGAAAAAAATAAATAAAAATTGTAAAGCACAAAACAACAACTGTTTCAGAGCAACTTAGGACTTGCTGCCATTTCCAGTGCATTCCAAAGTAAGCCATTAGCAGAATACAGTTACTCAAAAACAGTATTCTGAGTGTGGTTTCTGTCGCTCTCCAACACTGGCGCTGGTTACAACACGGTTAAAAGTGAAAAAAAAACACAATTTTGCCGAATCTGTCCTTTTTTAAGTACGGATGCTGTTTCTGCTTTCATAATTAGCCCCCGGTGCTCCCGGGCGCAGGGCATCAGCGTCCTCTTCTGATTGGCCGTGGGCCTGACGTGCACTCTGCTCAGTTCAAGGGTGTTCTCTGAGGGCCATTATTCACAGCCCGTTGTTCACCTGCGCGGCCCCTGACCTGTTCTGTTTATGAGGCCTTTATAATGATGGCCCAGAGGTGTTGTTGTGCGCCCTCATTAAGCCCCTGCTCCCACAATGCACCTGGGCTGGGGATAAGCCTCCTCTGCATCTTATTAACCACTGCTGACCTCCGGGGCAGCAAGGGATTTATTTGAGGAACTATTTGATACATTTTCCAAGGCTTTTTCACTTTCGTTTTTTTATACAATGCCCTTTTATGTTGTTTTATGTTTAGTTTATACAAAACCGAGGACAGACTCTGGCATAAACTTTCAAACCACAAAAAAAAAATGGAACTATGTAAGATTCAAGTAACTGGTTTCAAGCTCAAACCAGTTCCATCACTGGTTTTCACATTTGTATGTTTGTCCTCTGTCACAAAATCAGCTTCTTTCAGACAGAAAAGGAAAAGGAGAGGACTTAGTCAATCCATTCTCAGCCCAAAGAGTCAAATAGTGACTCACAGGGCTCTTTTTATGCCAAAAATTACATGTTTGATAATTAGATGAAGATGTTGTGATCTGATTTGACTTTCTTTTGGGAAAAACAGAAAGGTTTTTGGCGCATGGAAGTAAGAAGTGATGTCACAATGAAAATCTCATTGATAAAGAAACTTTAGGCGTTATGTCCCCTTCAGGCGTTGGTGTGTGCGTGTGTGTGTGTGTGTGTGTGTGTGTGTGTGTGTGTGTGCGTGTGTGCGTGTGTGCGTGTGTGTGTGTGTGTTTGAACTGTTTGATTCTTTGATCTGTGTTCTGTAAACCGACACCTATTTAAAGTCCTCCAAGATAACTACTGTTGTGATTTAGAGCTATAGAAAAATAAATTGAATTGAACATGTGTGCATGTGTGCGTGCACACATGCGTGATGTGGCGAGCTTTGTCCGAGGGCCTGCTGTGAGTGATTGAGTTCAGGAAGCAGTGGGAGAGGTCAAACACAGCACTGGGTGTTTCCGCACCACTTTTCACCTGAGACGAGGAGGTGGGAGGAAGGGACGTGAGTAGTTGTCATAGGCCCTTCACATTACTTTCCCTGATGCAGTTCGGGCCTCCTCTCTGCGCACCTCTTCACATAAACTAAATGTGACAGTCCAATCTGCTTCTAACATGAAGTCTGCTGTGGTTCCTCTGTGTCATCCCACCACCACCTCCTTACCTCCCACCACCACATCCTGAGGGGAACACATTGGATAAAACTGCAAGTGCATGTGATTTCTGTCTGTTATACAGAGATTATATCAAGTATAATAAATATTAAGCAAAATTAAAATGTGTTGTCTTCAAATAATCATCTCTCCATTACGCCCCACAGTGTTTATGATGTTTAAATTAAGTATTCAAGTATAATCTGTGACATGATTCCTTTGTGGAGATTGTACTATGACCGAGTGGCCGGTGTAAGTACGAGGGAAGGAGTAAACTTCTGTAGAGCACTCCCCACCGCATGGGTCACAGTGCTTCAGAATACAGTTTAAAATAAAACAGAAAGGCCTTAATGTCTGAAGAGAATCAGCCAATGTCTGGGATCGCGTCTTTAATTCAGACAGAAGACATGTTTTATTGTCAATGGTAGAGACAGCACGAACAACACGAACAGAGGATGTAACAAACTGTTAGTGATAATATAGCATGGGAGAATGAAGTCCTCCAATCAGCAGCTGCCATAGTGCCAGCAGAGATAGTCAAAACATGAAGTGGAAAAGTACAAGCTTCTGCACATTGATAAAGAATGATGAGTTTAACTTTAACAAAAGTTGCTTAAAAGTGTTATGAAATCTAACATGTCTTCAATTGGCTTTTAATTGAGTCCAGTGATCACAGAGGGAGCAGAAAAATAATTCCAAAGTCTCGGAGCAACAGCCTGGAAGAATCGTCCTGAATTTCATTTCAGGTTCTCAAGGTTCACTCTGCGCCGGTCCAGAAGGATCCTCTCCTCTGGTCCAGAAGGATCCTCTCCTCTGGTCCAGAAGGAACGTTTCCTATGGTCCAGAAGGAACGTTTCCTATGGTCCAGAAGGAACGTTTCCTATGGTCCAGAAGGAACGTTTCCTTTGGTCCAGAAGGAACGTCTAGTCTGGTCCAGAAGGAACGTCTAGTCTGGTCCAGAAGGATCGCCCTCGGCCTTCTCACAGTCTGACATGAGTGCAGATTCTGATCCTCAGAGCTAAGGGCCCAGGCCGGAGTTTAAGGCCTGGGCCCTGCACCTGTTCTAAAATAATTGCAAGATTTATTCTAAAGAAGTCTGGATCAGGTAGATCTGTGATCCATGTCCTCAACGCAGTTTTCTCTGACCTATTCCTGTTCCATTTCCCTTCATAATCTTCCATTCCTCGGTATCCGCAGGTCTTCACTACGGGAAGGAGAGTGTGCGCAGCAGCGGAGGAGCTGACCTGCACAACTTCATCTCGTCAGGCTTCGTCACGCTGGGTCGCGGCCACCAGAAAGGTAACTGCGAACTCATGGGAAAGAAAAGTAATGTCATTGTAGGTGCATTGTTTGAATATGACCAGAAGTACCATCGACAGCGACGCCAATATCTTCAGTGTTATGGTGAAGCAGGTGATCGAACTGTGAAAGCACTCTGTACATGTTTAAACACATGTACAGGGGGTTAGGGTCAGAGTGTTTGGGCCTCAGCTGTACGTGTGTGTGTCTGAGTGTGTATGTGTTTGGGTGTTTGTGTGTCTCATCCCCTATGTTACGGTATTGTATATTACTGTATGTACCGCACAGTATCATAATTGCATTCTGTGTGTTGATTATTGGCATTGTGTTCTGTGTATTATCATGCTGAATGGTGAGAGGAGGTTGGGAAAAAAATAAGCCTCTGCTTTATCCAACCCCGTTATCAAACCTGTATTTGTATAAAGATTAGTGAAATTGTGTTCTGCAGGTTTACAAATAACTTAAACGAACTACTTTGTATCGTTCCGGAAGTATGGCGCCGTGGCAAGAGCTCTGGTGTGTACTCCGGTGCACACTGGGGGTAGTCTTGCACAGTTTTGCCAATGTGGTTGTACTGCAAATGGCAAATAAAGTCTTGAATCTTGGATCAGAGTTCACATACCTGTTAGTCCACTATCACAGTCTTAGAGCAGCTTTTTCAGACCCAGGATAATTACTCCCTCTGCAGCAGCCAAAGTTAGGAACCCCAGCTTTAAATCAGTTAAAATACAGATTACATTTAACATTTTACATAGAACTTTACAAAGTCAAGTCACTTCAGAGTAGAGTCGTGTGAGGTGTGCAGTGTGGAGGATTGCTAATTGATTGTCTGTGCTCTCGCTCTACAGTAGTTTCCTGACGCCTGGAGTTTGTTTGTATCTTTCTGTGTGGAGTTTGACACACAACATGAAGAGTGCTGCAGAGCCATCAGACAAACACAACCTTTTTTGATGTTCTTCTTCCACACTATGTTTATATCTTTCTGTTAATGGTTTCCTCAACTCTTTGGTGGATCACTTTTTGAGTTACTGACATTTTCCACATTGGGGCATCTGTATCACTTGGTTTTAGGCACTTTTACCACCAGACTGCATCTCAATCATTTGTTAAAGGCCTATAATAAAAACATAAATAACATAGAAGCAATTATTTGTGTCATTAGTGCTCCTACAAAGAAACATTAAACAGTTAAATTGCTAAAGGCCAACATATACATCTAAAAATGAGTTTGAGCCCAAATTGCACACTATCTGCTTTCACACGTGAGTCAATCTATCGGTGGCAGTTAGTGAACTTCGTACTTTTAACTTTTGAACTCCCAGAGCAGTCAATTTGACAGCTTTTAGTTTTCGAAATGTAATGACTAAGTTCTTGGTGTTCCTAACTCTGTAACTTTTCCTGTTTCTATAAGTAGTTTGATTCTATGTCATTATTGTTATGAAATCATCTTCCATATTTGGAATGTGACTTTAACTCTCAGAGCATTAACATAAACATCCACGGTGGCCATTTTCGTTTTGGTAACCAACATTCTATGGCAGGTTAAGTCTTTCTCTAAGGGGCTGGTTCTGGACTGGTCCTGGTTCTGGTTATATAAGCCTGGTTTTCCACAAGAGCAGAGCAAGGTGCTGGTTACCATAGCAACTTACTATTTACTGCAGTTAGCAGCGGTTAGCATTTAACCTATATTCAATTACAATTTAAAAAAATTCTTGTATAGCCCTAAATCACAACCGTAGTCATCTCAGAGACTTAACAGAACCATTGAAATCACCAACACGGGTCAGAGAATCAACAGTTAAAACACATAAAGAATATAGAACACATGTTGATAAATGTCATACATGTTGTAGAATGTTAAAGTGTCCTGGATCATCACCACATCTTGTTGGACACTAACTGCCCAACAGACCCTCCTGCATCGGCAAGGAAAAACTCATAAAAACCCAGTGGGAAAAAAGTGAGAAACCTCGGCGAGACCCATAGTTTGAGAAAGTGATCCGCTCCACACGGACGGACAGGCTGTAGATCCAGGACCAAAGCTACAGAACGAGGACCAGGGGCGCAAAGGGGTCGCAGAGTGTGGACAGGTCTGAAGCAGCTCCCGGGCGGGTCGGCAGGGCAGTCCGCAGGTGTGGATGGAGGAGGCCATCTATTCACCAGTTTTCTTAGTACAATGAAACTGGATTTTATCAGAATTCCATTGTTTTGAAAGGGAGCAGTAAAAATTTTTTTGGTTGTTATAGTGTAGTTTCATAATTCTGGGAGTCTTTGTGTTTGGAGAAAACTATTTATGAACTTACAAAGTTACCAATAGAGAAGCTGTTGATGTGAGTGGACTATAACATTGGGAAGAACTCCTCTCATCCTCCACACAGACTCTTCAGCCCTCTGCCCTCTGGTCACCGCTACAGGACCAGTAGGCTACGAGACAGTTTTTATCACAGACCAGTCACACTTCTGAACTCTTACCCTATTAAAGCCCATGTTGTATGACTCATGTACATACTAGCAATAGCAGCTTGTACAGTCTCACTTACAGGATATACTTTTTTTCATTTATCTGTGTTTGAAATATTATCCTATACTTGCACTATTGCACTACTGGTTGGATGCTAAACTGCATTTTGTTGCATTGTTCTGACTTTGTAATGACAATAAAATTGAATCTATTGAATCTGGTCTTAGGTGCGCAATTGCCGTTACAAGAGGAGAGTTGACATGTTGCAAAGAGAAACCGAATCTGCTGCTTTAATCTTTTGTCGTGATCATTTCAAATAACAGTTCCCACAATATCTCCACCTGAGCAGGGACTGGATAAGTGAGTAACCACAGACATCAGCCATAACCAGTTCTTCAAAAGTCAAATACTAACACATGCCTCTAACCTGCCATCTTTATTTTAAAACCATTCTTTGGCCCCCGGTCTCTTTTGCCGTCTCTTCTTCTTCCACTCTTGCCGTTTTGGGACTGCGTGGACTCAGCAGGGGGTCCTGCTTTTCCTCGCCTAATGACGGCTGCTATTTACGCGCCGGTGGAATAGCTTGTTTTCTGGGCGCGCTGTGTTTTGTTCCCAGCGGGGGCCGAGCGGTCGCACGGTGCGCCACACAAAGCAGCGCTAATGAGAGAAGTGTGATTAGTGTTTGTGAATGCGCACTTTGCACAGCGACGCCGCGTTGGCATTTGCCGGGCCGCTATGTGCCCGTTGTCGTATCATCGGGACGACAAACGAGGAAGGTGAGATCGTTATCCAGCAAAGAAACACCACTGCTTTAAACAAACTGCAGGAGTATTTTGGTGTGATGATTGCAGAATGGCCAGGACATGAATCAAAGACGTGAGCTGTGATTCAAGCATTCACAGAGAAAATGTTTTAGTCATGTTGAAAATGTGTGGAGCATCGTCAGTAAGAAGGTCGCTGGTTTGATTCTGGTGCATTTACAGTATGTGAGATTGTGAGTGAGTGTTTCTATCTTGTTTTGTTAAGCACTTTGAGTTGCCTTGTGTGTGAACTGTGCTATACATAAACAGTAAGTTAAATTAGGTATTTACGGTATATAGCCAAACTTGCATGTAGAAGCTAGATTCCCTCAGACCTATGAAGCTGTGCAGGGCAGGGCCTTGTTAGTACTGAGATGGGAGACCTCTGGGAACACCAGGTGCCACAATGGGGCGGCTACGGCTGTAAAGTGCCAAACTGCGGTTGTGTCCTTAGGCAAGACACTTCACACACATTGCTTAGTATGAGTGTAGTGTTGGGTTGGGGGTGGTTGGAGGGGCTGATGTCTCGTTCTGGTTGCCTCGCTTCTATCAGTAAGCCCCAGACCCCTGGGTGCTGCACTGTCTCGACTACTGCTCAAGACAGATGGTCAAGTGGCATAGAATGATGGGTCAAATGCAGGGGACTAATTCCACTACGGAAACCAAGGACTTCACAGATCTGTTTGAAAAGATTGAACCAACTGAATAAGTCCAAGATTTAAACAAATAAAGTGCTTACAGCGGACATACATGTTCAATTGTTTGGTACGTAGTTTTACATCCACATATAACACATATTCCCTGTCCTTCACCTTTAATGTCTCCTAAACAGCCTTTTTTGAGTTGTTGACCTTGTTGTATCATCCAATAGTAGAATTGGAGCAATACCTCTGCACCTTTTAATGAAGGGAGATATTGTTTCCATACATCCATTTTCTTCGCCTTTGTCCATTTCTGGGTCGGGGGGTGGCAGTCAGTTGGCACACAATTCACGGAGCACGCAATGACAGCAGACATCAGTGGGAGTCCATGGAGAAGGTCTCATGGTGGGCTCGAACCCACAACCTACTACCAACTGAGCCACTGTCGCCGCGGAATTATGTTTTAGCAAGCTCAAATAAGAATGAGGCTTACTCTAAAGCCAACACATTATTCAGTCCATATTTTCTCTTAAACAAAAAAAAAAAAACACATCCAACAGATGCTGGTTAGGTGCGAGATACCAAATGTCTGTGGTTGTGGCTTTAAACAATTTTCTTCGTTTGTTCAGCGTTGTGGGTCAAACCTTTGCATGAGAGAGATGCAGCTGAAAGCAACAATCTGGGCAGCGCTCGTGCCTGTAGGCCAGACTTCTGTGAATGTAAAAGAGAGGAGAAATCAATGTGCCACGCTCATTTTGTCTGCTCTCAGTGACTGCGGGGCTGAGATTTAACCGGAGACGCCCTCGCTCTGGCTTTCTCTTCAAACACACAAAAATCACGATCGATTGGGGCGGCTGCTGACCACAAACACACCGCAGTACGTGTGTGAACGCTGCATATGCCAACAACTCCCCACATCATGTCACATTTGAACGAGTTTCCAAGCAACGCCGTCTCCCCAGGGTGCTCCTGCCTCGGGCCTCAACCACAAAGACATGTGTGAGGGAATGGATCGCATGTAGTGGGAGAGAAGTCAGATTGAGACGGACTAGATATCTGGAGATTCATTCAGTCGGGTTTTATCTGGGTGATGGGTCGCTCTGAGATCTTAAGCTTTACATTTTCGACCAATCATAAGACATGATAGAAAAGGCAAATGTTTTTGTACACATAAAAAGTATACATAAAGCAAGAACGAAAAAAGATCCAACATTTGAACAAAACATGTCAGACAGAACTTCCTAAAGCAGGGTTTTCAAACTAATTTATGTTTGTGGATAAATGTATGAAGCAACAGCTGGTCTGAGCTCACTTAACCCCACATTACCTGAAGCCCCTGCTAAAACACCAAGGCGTGGAGGATTAGTGAGGGACAGGTGCTATGAGCATTGGGTGGCAGCTCTGATTATCAGCCCCGACCCAGAAATGGACTGATGAAGCGGATTGAATGGGATTGAATCAAAACAAGACCAAAGGTGAAGAAGGTGTAAAATTGTAGGCTGAGAGGCCAAATTTTTTTTCCATTTTATTGAACTCTATCTAATGAGGCTCATGTGTTTGGTTCAAATTGTAGCATAAATTATTATTTTGTGGAGAGCATTTCCTTTTATTTACATTTCCACCAGTACCAGCAAAGTTCTCCATTTACCGCACCCTCACCTTTGCTGACGAGTGACCAATGGTCAAAGTGAGTTTCCTCCGCAGAGTGACTGCTTTAATAAGACTTTCTTCTTATGTCTTTGCCCAAACTAACTTTCTGTTTTAAAGTTGATAAAAGTAAATTTGACATAATGCGTCCTGTTAACTGCGGTTGAGTCCAAGTGCATTAGTCAGAGCCAGACTGCAGCAGATGTTGCTGCTGGTTTGTTTGTGCTCTCATTACGGCTGCAGATGAAGACTTATGAAATGTGGGTGTTGGGGGATGGAAGGAGGCCTGGGGGGAGGACAGTGGAGAACAGGGGGAGGAGCCCAGAAGCAGAGCAGGTGAAGAGCACATCTGTTTAGCCCCGTCCAAAACAACTGAGAACATGCACGAGGACATCCGCATATTCATATTTTATTTCACAGTTTGTTCTTTTTGCTTTTTTCAACATTCAAAAATAGGTCTCCATTATGACCCTAAAGCCAGTTTTTGAACCACATGTAGTGGCCACTGAAATTAGCTTAAAAATAATGTATAACTTGCCATGGCACCCCATTACCATCAATGCTGCAGTAATTATTGAAAATTATCATTGAATTTATGGTTGAAAAATGTTCTTCCTGCCTAAAGGAAAGGTAATGCATTAACATGTACTGGATTATTAACCACATCATTTATCAGTGAAAGAAAACAAGAGATGTCCAAATCCAAGTTATTTGATTCCGAGTATCTGCCAATAGTAGGTCCCAATCAAATTATTCAATAATATAAGTAAATAAGTATATAACGGATTATATATTCATCATTTTATCTTACACAATCCAAGTTTTAAAGGATGAATCAATCAATCAATAGCAATTACGACTTGTATCAATAAAGTAAATGGTTCTCATTATTTAATAAGCATTTAAAAAAGGATCAGTATACCTGTCCATGTAACACTTTGGACACATTACCAAAACCACTCAGTAAATGATTTAACTAGTTTGTTATTTATTTATTTATTTATTTATGGACATTTTATTGGAGGATAAACCCCATGAGATGTATCATCTCGTTTTCGTGGGGGGTCCTCATGATCATATCCAAAGAACATAGGATAGCAGAGTAGACACAGTCAAGTAAAAATAAAATAAAAACTAAATAATTATAACAACAACAATAAAAAAATAATATACAGTAATAATAATAATACAACAAATTAAAGTAAAAATGATAATACTACAAATACTTAACACACACACACTCACACACACCACTCATGCCACACACTCACACAAGCTCTCACTATTCGCCTACCCACTCTTTACTACTGTATCTTACAGACAGTATGATAGGGAAGTCTGGGCATCTCTGCTTAGACTGCTGCCCCCCGACCCAGCAACGGATGAAGTGGGAGAAAATGGATGGATGTGATAATCAACTTCAAGATACATCCTAGATAAAGACCTTAAAACAACATTACAACACATGCCTTCCCAAACGTATTTGGCATTTTTGCCAAAACTTTTTCTTGGTTTTAATATCCCCATCGCAGCCATATCTGTATCTGTACATCTTCTGTTAAAAAAAGACAAAGTATTTTCGACATGCGGACAGCGCCGTCATTAATCATAGATGCACTTTTCTGATGCACGTGCGCGGCTCATCCATCTCCCGTTCACCCGAGTGCAGTCTCTGTCACTTCATGCACAGACCTGCAGCAGCACTAATGTCTTTGTTTATTCCACTCGCAAACGGATTCACTCAAAAGACAAACGGAGAAAATGTGTTTGCCCACCGCCGCACAGGCGCTCGCACAAAACCGGCTTTTTGATTTGGTTTTTTACAAATAATCAAACGCAGAATGGATTTTTCACAGCTTTTGTCCATGTTATAATTGTTTTCCCTGGTCTTTTGTCATTGTTTGTTGTGTGTACCCCATTGACGGCGTAGACACAGCACAAGTACCTGTTGTTGTTGAGGGCCATAAATGTTTCACATCTTGAACTTATTCTGGTCAGGTTTTTCTGTTATAACACAATTGTTTTATTTGTAAGTTCTTATTTTTGGGATGTGATTACTGTACCTTTTTTGATATGGGCGACAGTGGCTCAGTTGGTAGGGCATTGGTTTTTGAACCTAATAGATAGATAGATTCTTTATTGATTCCCCGTAGGAAAAATTTAGGTGTCCAGCAGCAGAAGACTCATCCAGGTCTGTTGTACAGTCTGACAGCCGAAGGAACTAAGGATCTCAGCGCTGTGATAGGAGCTGTTGCTACGATTACTCATCTGAGCGACCATAGTGTGATGCAGAAGGTGTCTGGAGTTACCCACTTTAGGGTTGCGGGGGCACTAGTCTAAGCAGATACTCCCAATGCTAGCACTTTGGGTTAGCACTCTTTATATATTGTGATTATCATCTTTGGTTTTTTAATGGTGGAGGTAGTTATAATGGTTATGGAATTACTACCAATAGCCCTTTGGGTGTGATATTCAAAGTAAAATAAATAATAGGGTTGTTTTCCTGAGAGAATAATATTTAAAATGAAGTGTCACATGCCATAGTAGCTCATACTACGTTTACTAAGACTAATAGTAAAACTTATTTGATTATTGGCACCCAATCATTCCAACAGGCAGGACATGTTTCCATGTTTCTCTTGCCTCTTTAAACCAGCGTTGGTTTTTGTTGTCCTCAATCTTTATGATGTTGGTTTCGTCAAAATCCATAATGTGGTTCTCTCTTCTGCAGCTATGGGATTTGGCTGATTCGAGGTTCTCTTGTTCTGCTTTGTGTTTTGCTGCACACCTTTGCTGTGTCCTTCTCACGTTTGGTTTTGTGTTTTATTTGTTTTTTTGTGTGTTTCAACTGTGCGTCATCAGTCAAAACCACTCTTGTCTTAAAAAGGAGCACAAGGTACTCAACCATAGACCGTAAATAGATGAACATTGCTCACCTCCGAGACCAGTGCTGCTCCGGGAACTTCCTTGGTCCTTCCTCAAGTGAAGGAGTTCAAGTGTCTTTGGGTCTTGTTCACGAGTGAGGGAAGGATGGATCATGAGATTGACCAACGGATTGGTGCAGTGTTTGTAGTGATCCTGTCGCTGCATCTGACCATTGTTGTGAAGAGGGAGCAGCGTCTGTGTTCGGGTCTAAATCTAAGACGGTTGTGCTTCCGAGGGAGCTGAGTCGAAACACAAAGCCCTCGATAGATCAGTCAATCTACGTTGCACCCTATAACATGGTCAAAAGCTGTGTCGTGTCCCCTTTAAAGCATCCATCCACATTGAATGTCCTAATATGTTGTGACAGTGTTTGAGCTGCAGTCAGTTTGACAGTTCTTGTCACTGCACTTTTCCCCATTGCAGTGAGCAGAAGGAAGCATTGTGATACATCTTGTCCTCTACAATACATTTGCTGCATTCTAATCTCCCAATTACGTCTCCCTGGTTCCTCTGGTATACCAACACCTTGTTTTTTTCATCCGCTCCTGTGTTCATTACCTTTCCTTTTCGCCTGCAGGCTTTTCACATTTCTGAGAGTGACACGTGTTTTGTCATCTCGTTCCCCAAAAGCGATCAGAGAGACAACAACTCTACGCGATCAGAGTTTTTTCCCCTCTCCTATGATTCCGCAGTGCCATAGAGCGTTCGTGGAGCATGCCAATTAGAGCCTCTGCTCGTCACATTATGCTGAAATTGCAGTATGATAATAGGGGGGAAAAATCAAAAGTTAAGCAGCAAGTAAAGCTGTGCAGCGCTAATTCTCTACGCACACGCCGTATTCATAATAACAATACGAGGCGTGCGGATTTGAGCAAGTCCGAAGGGCAAAATTAAAAGTGAAACGGGGGAGGGCGCTTTGTCAGGGCTAATCACAGCTGTGCAGAAGGTTACATTTACATTTAACAACTGTGGATGTGGAAGATCACTGAAAGCATGCAATGTCGGTGACAACTGGAGTTGCTTCGGTTTAGAGAGAGTCTGTTCCAGCAGAGCAGGGGGTGACATGGATTTTAAACCAATCTACTACTACTCGTTTTAGTCAAAAAGTAGATCTTTTTACTTTTGTGTGTTCATTGTGTAATATATGTAACCATGGGCTTGGCTTAAAGCAGACTACAGCCATGGACATACAATAATACACTTTACACTTTTACACACTATGCCCGACACCTGAATTTCTTCTACGAGGAATCAATAAAGTATCTATCTATCTACACAAAAAGAGAAGAAAAATGTGTTTGAACAACAACAAAACTGGTGAATTTTAATCAATCTTTTTGGTATCTGAACAATCTTTTGGTTCAAACGACCAAATCTATATTCAGTTGCATGTTAAGGTCAGTGCTAACCGATGCAAAGCAGGAAGCCATACTTTTAGGAATTTGGATGGAGTGTCTTGCATAAGGACACCACAACAGTTTTGGCACTTTTCTGCCACAGCCTTTCTCCACTGTGGCAGAAAAGTAGAGGAACCAGAGCAGCTGGAAGAAACCGACACAGAAACCGAGAGAACATGCAAACTACACACAGACATGAGGAGAACATGCAATCCAGGGTCAACACCTCCCATCAAGTACGTTTTCATGGGGGTTTCTCAAAGTCACATTATTTAATCTTGAAATTAATCCTAAGTCCTTTAACTTGTCCTTTAACAAATCCTGTGATCTGATACAAAAGGAAACAGCCTGTACAGAACTTTGGTTTTATTCATTGTGTTTTGCTCTATTTGCTCTAAAATGTTTGTTGCGTCATTTAGTTGGTCCTCAGAAGTTACACACTTTGACAAATGGTTCAAACTCTGTGTGTCCTCCACTAGTTTTGTAACATCTCACAGTTCCAACACAGAACACTCTGTGAGGATTTTTTGTGAATGCAGCTTGAAACAACATTGTCTTGTCCATGTCTGTTTTTTAGATAGAAATGCTGCAACATGGTTAATGCCTCGGACAAAGTACTGTCCATTCAAGCATTCTGTCGTGTCCTCACCGTGGCCTGTTTCAAAAACCCATCTGCATTTTGGACTTTTTTCCAACGCTTTTTCTCTCTCAACCACAGATCTCGTCTTTGTTGCCATGACCTCAGGCACTTTTCCTTCTCGCAGACTCCTCTCTAATCTATTATTCAGTGGGACTGGGCACCGGGACGCTCCGTTAAGTCCCTTCCTCCTGCCTTCTCCCAAGGCCATTGTGTTCGGAAACAAACGCCTTTTTCTGGCGAAAGACGGAGCGCGGCAGAATGTGAATATGGACCTACGTGGGACTCGCACATTCTGATCAGCTACGGGCTTCAAGGAGCGGTGAGCGGCGGCCTGCAAATGTGTGCGAATGTGCGACGCGCCTAGAATGAGAAGAGCCGGCTGACTCTGCGCAGGGACCAGAGCGAGCAAGGACCACAACGAGCAGAGCCAGGCGCAGCTGACCCTGTCTCGTTTGTTTCAGCGTAAGCATTTCTTATCAACGCATTTCATCCTGTGTTTTTGGAGATTCAAAGATTCCTCATTAACCCTTTTGTGGTTTCCTCAAACATTTGGTGGATCTATTTTTGCGTCACTGAATCTTCTTGAAGCTTGGAACTGAAATCTACCTCATTGGGGCCTCTCTATCACCTGGTTTTAGGCACTTTTACCATCCAAAAAGTATCTCAGGCCGATAATTGAAAAAACAAATATAAAAGGTGTGTGTTATTAGCGCTCCTACACATTAGAAAATCAAAAAAAGAAAACAATGATTTCTTCTAGGACTGAACATTAAACGGTTAAAGAGTTAATACCGAGAGTCAAATGCTTAAATGCCAAAAAAAAAAACACATTTAAAAGCTTTTTATTCCGACCCAAAACACAATCGTTCAAGTCAGACAAGAGCAAAGATAAAATTGTGTTGGTATCAATTAAATGAAACTGAACGATCCAAATGTTTGGAATAAATGTATCCACAGTCCAATGGTAATGCTAGGCTATCAGTCATAAAAACAAAATAATTTGTCTGAATATGATGTGAATTTGTAATCATATATATAGATTAACGATGATAAAAGGAGTTGAATAATAAAACTGTGCATAGTGCATATCCAAGGTTACACACAGCAATTTACAATTTAGTGTAATTTCCATTCTCTTTTGTTTACGACGAAGGCCAGATGCCGAACACAATCACCATCCGTCGTTCCACATTCACATCCCTTGTTCATAGCAGTATCGAGAATCCGGAGAACCTGAAAGAAACCTACGCAGACACAGGGATAACATGCAAACCCCACACACAGAGTAAGGGCTCTCGATGTCAACCTCACCATGAATTAAAAACAGTTTCATTCTCAAAACAATCTCAACGGATCCTCAAACCCTGTACTTTCCACCATGTTTCTTTCAAAAACTTATGTACTGCCTTTTTATGGTAATTTAAGCAACACAAAACAGCAGAAGAAGCTCATACCGTGCGAGTGTTTAGCATAAATACGCACTAATACTGTAATTAGGAGTTTACAGATTTAGTTTCTGCAATCTATTCAACACAAACACAGCAATAATCTGCGCTCCTGCACCTTAGTGATTCCCTGTGGTAGTTCACGCAGGGTTAATTCGGCTCGTATAGCGTATGTCAGGTGGATATATGAAGCAGCCGCTCGCCCTGGCTGCGCAGCTGTACCAACGCCGCCGCGGCCCGTGATAAATGGCCCCATGTTCGCAGTAATCACTAATCATTATCCATTTAGCGCGAGCCATTGTTTACGGGCCCCGAGCGCACAGATGGCCACGCTCCTGCCGCTGCTGAAACACTGACGACGACTTCACCTGCACGGCACCGCGCGCACTGCACTGCCCCGATTTCAGTTAAGTAAGTAAGTAATGTTTATTTATGTAGCACATTTTACGGGCCGAGGTCACCCAAATCAGATATTTTTCCATTCACACACGGTGATGATGGAACCGGGATGACACTGGCGCAACAAAAACCCCATTCAACACCGTCCATTCACTCACTAAATACATTCAGACCTACGTATTGTACATGTTTGTTGTGGTTTTTAGAGGTAGGGGAAACCGGAGCACCCGGAGAAAACCTGCGCAGGCACAGGGGAGAACATGTAAACTCTTCTCAGAAAGGCCCTGTTCCAACCGGGATTCGAACCCAGGGCCGAGAGTGCTATCCACTCAGCGACCTTGCAGTCCAGTGACCAGCATGCATAGCGGTGTCAGGTGGGCCCAGTTTAAGGGACTGCTAACAATGGGAAAGTAAAGGGCTATCACACCCACTGAGCATTATACTCTGCTAGTTTCATATCTATTTCTTACATTGTGTTGTGTTAGTTAGTTAATATTTTATTGTCCTCTGCATTTGAACCATCCTGATGCCACTATAGGCATCTATCAGGAGCAGTAGTCGCCGTAGTAACAGTGACCGGGGGCCAAACTCCAGATGTAGATGCTCAGCTTGGTCAGGACTATCGGAGCTGGAGGATTTTTCGCCATTTCTACAGGTTTTGTTTGTGATTGGGGAAACTGGAAACCGTGTCGCCCAAAATGGTAATTGTAAATTAAGCCAAACATTTATGAACAAAGTAATTTGACTGGAGAAATTCCAGAGAGAAAGTTTGTGTGGGTTTGTGAAAATAGGCGCTGATATGAGCGTGGATGGAGCTAAAACCACTCTGGGCCCAAATCAACCGGATTTCATGTCCTGTTAGATTTTAGATCAATAGTTTCATTTTTACCGAAGACTATGATCTATGTGTTTTTGTTTGATTTGTGTGACTGGGAAACCTACTGTCTACATGACCTTGTGACGCCTGACTTAGCCCCTAGACCTGAGACCCCCACCCATGGGTGCTGTGGCCGGGGGAGTTATCCCAGCAGCCGCACTAGATTGGCTGTGCTCTGCTCCACTGCACTCTTCACACTGCGGGGGCAGACTGAGTTATCACCGGTGGGGCCACAGGTATTCAATCAGAGTGTGTGTGCGTGTGTGTGTGTGTGTGTGTGTGTGTGCATGTGTGTGCATGCGTGTGTGCGTGTGTGCATGTGTGTGCATGCGTGTGTCCGTGAGTGTAGGTGTATGGGGTAATGGACAGGGGCCGCACCATTGTAATGAAACGGCCTTTCAATAGCTATAAATAATGGAGTCTCCCGGGGGACCATTAGGTCTCCTGAAGTAATGTGTGTGTAGGTGTAGGTGTAGGTGTAGGTGTGTGTAGGTGTGTGTGTGTGTGTGTGTGTGTGTGTGTGTGTGTGTGTGTGTGTGTGTGTGTGTTGGTGTGTGTGTGTGTGTGTGTCTGTGTATGTGTGTATGTAAGAGGAGGAAAGAGAGAGTAAGAGTTTGGTCTTTATATTTGATTTATGTTTGCATAAAATGTGTGTTTTAAAAAAGGTCATGTATGATGATAATCTATGACACTGTCGGATCAAAATGTATTTTGCATAATAGGTCAAATAGTCGTGACCATTGTCTTTGGTGAGTTACATGCTACAACAATTGTCTTTCATCAAAACAAGACCTGCATTATTATGATCTCAGTCTTCAGACTATGGGATCGTGTTTTTCTAGTGAAATAATATTCTTCAAAGTCGCGTTCCTTCAATTACACACACACAAAAAGTGACTGGATTGGGTTACCATATTTCACATTCTTACATTACTATAATATTGGAGTTTTATATATTCATCAGTCTGGTAGTCATGTTTAAGAAGGAAAGACATCTGACTGAGGGTGGATCAGTCTGTTGCTGAAGTTGCTCTCCAGAGCAGACAGTGTCCTAAAGTCATGGCTGGACCATGAATGTTAGTTTGTCCAGGACCCTCCTGATCCCCACCTGTTGTACTGTGTTCAGGGGACAGCCCAGGACTTCCTGATGACTTTATCCAAGATGGCTGATGCCACCACAGAGTTATAAGAGGTCCCCAAGAGCTGCCCATGCACTTCAAAAGACCCTCCTAAAGACCTGAGTCTCCTCAGCAGGTCCTAAAGACCTGAGTCTCCTCAACAGGTCCCTACAGTGTCCTGCAGTGTTTGAGTCCGCTCTCTCAATGTCCCATCACAAGACTTTCACTGGGGCTGGAGGACCGTGGAGACTGCAGCATTATAAAGCAATAAGGCGACAGTGGCTCAGTTGGTAGAGCATTGGCCATTGGCCTGTCGTTGTGTCCTTGGGCAAAGCACTTAACCCACTTTGCGCGTAAGTGATGTTTGCTGCTTGCCTTGAATTTCCCCATTTTGGGACGAATAAAGGACCTTCTTCTTCTTCTAAGAAATGTTACACTAAATATTCTCAAGATCATGCTAAAGAACTAAAATGAACACAAATACATCTGAATGTTTCTGTTTTGAGTCTAGTTTGAGAAAAACTGATGCAAAATGTGTTCGTGTCATATTTTTGAAAGTAATTTAAGTCCAGTTTTCGTTCTGCTTTGATATTTGGGTGTGAAATAACACAGACACATTTTGACATTTCATTTATCAGCGCGAGACAGAGTCATTTCAGAGTACGTACACAGTCGCAGTCTGTGGCGATGTTTGCAGACTGTTCACCATCTGAGACGTGATGTGCTTTCATTATGGAGACCGTTGTTACTCAGCGCGGGTACACGGCAGCAACAGGGAAAACATGTATCGAGGATGGGAATAGTAACAAAGTCAAACCATGTCCTCAGGTTGCTTCTAAACTTCAACATTGCACATAATTACTATTTCTGTGACTAAATATGAACAGTGTATTGATGTACATCTTGATCAGCGGTGTGACTTAGTTCTTTTTAAAGTGTTCTACTGAGTGTTCTCCACACTACAGTATAAACTGGCTTTTTGACGGATGGATTCCGTTCCAGAATACTGAATACTGTACAGTACCTAATATATATTTCGTATAGAATTGTATAGTATTTTTTGTAGTATTCCGTTACTTTGGAGGAGGAAAGGAGTACCTGTATTCCAAACACTTAGAATACATTTATTTATACTTTTTATTTTTATATATTTATTGTAAATTCAAAGTGCTTCAATAGCTGCCATTTTACATAATCTTCACTTCAAGAACACCCAATGGTTTCTTTTCTTTTTTTAAAACATAATGTGAGAAAGTACTGTATGTATTCCCGTGATTTTCAGAAAGTAACTGTATGATAAGTAATAGTTGTAACTGCAAAGGAAAACAGTTACTCAGAACGAGTATTCTGTAAATGGTTGGGAATAGATAGATTTGTGCCTGTTGTCCTTTGCCCACTCTTCTACCGCAGCAGTAATGCACAGCGTTCATCACAGACGTCTAAATGAACCGCTGACAGCTCGGCAGCCTCACAAACGCTCTCTTTCTTAATTACGTCGTGTTTGGCACAGTGCGCTGAGCCTGGGGGTCTGTGGAGGAGACACGGGCCCCTGGAGGCTCTCTGTGGAGGACCGGAGAGCAGGAGACAGGCTGCTGTGGAGGCCCTCCAGACTGCGCGATGTCTCCAGTGTAGAGGGACTCTGCATGGGCTCACAGACACACACTGACTGGGGAAATGTCTGAAGATAATTATGATGTTCTCAATGTCCTGCCGCACAAAGGCTTGCACACACCGGGACTTTTGATTTTCCGTGGAGCAGGATTTGTACATTGTAGGAGAAGACGTACAAATACTTCTACTACAGATTGTGGGACTTATTCACCATGAGGCCAGAGTATCTCCTTTATTTGGTGTTATATCCTTCATCAGTGTGTTTGGCGTTTTGGTCCAGTTTTCCACCACATTTCAAGTCATTTTCAAATCTGATGAAATGTGATGTCCCACTGGAGATCTGCTGCATTATTAATATGAACTGTGACCAAGTTACTGCTTTTTAAGGCGTTAACATTTACAATAACGTGTACTTCAAACAAACCAAGGACATAGTTGTTGAAACCTTTAGTGAGTGAGAAAACCTTTCCTTCAACCTGGAACAGAAAGGTAGGCTATAGAATGTTTTCACACCACATCATTCAATAATAGTATCTGTGTTACATGTTCATACAATATTGCAATAGTATTTGATCATGTGAAACCAATTTATAACATCTTATAATGATAGTGTGTGTCTTTTTCACACAAGTAACTCAGATTCAAATTCAGTTTATTTGCCGTTTGCTGTAAAACCACGTTGGGATACATATACTGTACGAAAAGTCCCCGGTGTGCACCAGTACTGACTAGAAAAAAAAGGCAACTATGGCTGTTTCCTCAACACATTCAGAGCCACTCAATTACTGCTGGGAGAGTCCTGGTTCAGTCCACGATCCCCCCCTCTCTCCTGGGGGGTGCAGCATCGATCGGCCGCTCAGTGGCGGTGGTACTGGCTGGTTCAATACTGCAGCAACACAGAGCTGATACACTGGATTATCCAAGAGCACATCTCACCTGAGCACGGCCAACACTACTGCTGCACCAAAACTAAAGTGCCCATCTCCGCCCCTGCCTCCAACAAGCCACTGCATAATTCCTCATTCACGCCCTCCTCACCTCCAGATTCGACTACTGCAATAGTCTCCTCTATAGTCTCCCTTCCACTCATCTCCAAAAACTGCAATATATCGCCTGCTGCTCGACCATACCTGCTCCAGAGAACACATCACCCCTGTCCTTAAATAACTGCACTGGCTCCCCGTCCCAAACTGTATATAATATAAGGTTCTCCCCATCACCTACAAGTCTCTTCATAACCTGGCCCACTCATATCTCATCGACCTCATCCATCGATGCCGTTCCTCCCGCCACTTTAGATCCGCCGATTCCAACCTCGTCACTCCCGTCAGAACAAAGTGCCAAACCCTGGGGGACCGAGCATTCGCTGCAGTTGCCCCCACTCTCTGTAACTCACTCCCACAACACATCAGGAACTCGGTCTCACTTCAGAACTACTCAACCGACCTGTTCAAAACTGCCTACACTTACCTGTTTATTTTAGGATTTCTGTTTTTTGTCGTTCCCTTTGTAGCGCATTTGAGCGCGTCTCAGAGAAGTATGATGTATTGTCATTATTATTACTGAGCACGGCCAAATCTGCTGCTGCACCAAAACTAAAACCTCTATGTGCAGTTCACCAGACAATGTGGGTGAGGTGTGTCATAAAATCAGATTCAGGCTACTTTATTTATCCCACAAGGGGCAATTTGTTTAAGCAGCACAGAGCATAAAAACACTTGACAGACAGTAACATGAGTGATATGATTTGAAATGGAGCCCATAAAAAAGATTAACATAACACAAAAATATGAGCTCAAACACCAAAGTCCATATCACCAACAAGCTACAGAGAGTTCACCTGTCTAATAGTGGTTAGGGCAAAAATTTAAACAAGACTGTCTCTGGTCCCTCTATCTCTGGTCCCTCTGACCCTGGTCCCTCTGTCTCTGGTCCCTCTGTCTCTGGCCCCTCTGTCTCTGGTCCCTCTGTCTCTGGCCCCTCTGTCTCTGGTCCCTCTGTCTCTGGTCCCTCTGTCTCTGGTCCTTCTGTCTCTGGCCCCTCTATCTCTGGTCCCTCTGTCTCTGGTCTCTGTGCCTCTGGCCCCTCTGCCTCTGGTCCCTCTGCCTCTGGTCCCTCTGTCTCTGGCCCCTCTATCTCTGGTCCCTCTGTCTCTGGTCTCTGTGCCTCTGGCCCCTCTGCCTCTGGTCCCTCTGCCTCTGGTCCCTCTGTCTCTGGCCCCTCTATCTCTGGTCCCTCTGTCTCTGGTCTCTGTGCCTCTGGCCCCTCTGCCTCTGGCCCCTCTGTCTCTGGTCCCTCTGTCTCTTGTCCTTCTGTCTCTGGCCCCTCTGTCTCTGGTCCCTCTGTCTCTGGTCTCTGTGCCTCTGGCCCCTCTGCCTCTGGTCCCTCTGCCTCTGGTCCCTCTGTCTCTAGTCCTCCTGTCTCTGGTCCCTCTGTCTCTAGTCCTCCTGTCTCTGGTCCCTCTGTCTCTGGTCCCTCTGTCTCTTGTCCCTCTGTCTCTGGTCTCTGTGCCTCTGGCCCCTCTGCCTCTGGTCCCTCTGCCTCTGGCCCCTGTGCCTCTGGTCCCTCTGCCTCTGGTCCCTCTGCCTCTGGTCCCTCTGTCTCTAGTCCTGCCGTCTCTGGTTTCTCTGCCTCAAACAGTTCAGAAAAAGTGAATGCAGTAACATCAGACCCATAGAAGCCACCGGTCCACATGCGGCCTGGATGAAAAGCCATTCCAGACTAATTGGACGAGTTATAAATTGACATTTCTTTGACACATTCTGTTTTTATTAATCTGCAGTCCAGTTGACTTCACTGATATAAAAAGGTTTTTTCGCTCTCTCCGCAAATTGTGTTACCACTGATTTGGATGATGTAGACTCGGGTCTCTGCCACTTGGATAAACACTTAATTAAAACACTTTATTTTCAGTGGGTACACCATTGGAACAAGCGCACTGCCAGTCCCCATAAATTGTTGCAAAACGTTTCTTTGATTTCTCCCATAATTCAGCGAGTATGGGACTCTTGGGTTATGTAAAAGTGACTTGTACATTATTAATCTTCGTATCATGAATTAGTAATGTTCCATAATGAGTGTTTGGTCTCCTCCAGAAGCAGCCGCTCTGAGGAGAGTGTTTACATGTGTGCCAGAGTGGCCACTCTGCTGGGGCAGGGGCCCGACACTCAGGGACCAGAGACTCAGGGACCAGAGACTCAGGGACCAGAGAGAGAGGAAAGAGGCAGAGGGGCCAGAGACAGAGGGGCCAGAGACAGAGGGACCATAGACGGAGGGGCCAGAGACAGAGAGGGATCAGAGAGAGAGGAAAGAGACAGAGGGACCAGAGAGAGAGGGGCCAGAGACGGAGGGGTCAGAGACAGAGGGATCAGAGAGAGGGGGGTCAGAGAGAGAGAGGAACCAGAGACAAAGGGACAGAAGAGACATAGGGGATAGAGACTGAGTGACCGGAGACCGAGGGGACAGAAACAAAGGTGCCCTTCAAAAGCAACATAATATATTTACTTATTTCAGTGTGACCCATGTATCACACTGATTGTCTTAAAAAATGATATCTAATTCTACTATCACACCCATACAAAAATGGCGCAATCCTGCCTGCAGACGAACATGTGCACAAATAATGACAAGTAATACAAAAAAGCTACATTTAGATTTAATTTATATTGCTGTTGAAAATGTGTCTGGCTTACACCAAGATTCCCCAATGGGACTTGAAGAAAATTCTTTTTGAAGAGACGAGCAAATTATCCCTTGGAAGGAGAGAAAGTAACTGCTGAATGTACCGCCCTTGAAATATCAAATTTGTTCTCATCCCATCGAGAAATCGTAGTTTAAGAATGTCTTTAATCAAGATTAATAATTGATTGATGTGTTCACTACTTGTATGTTATCAGCTCGTGTGTGTGGCGAGCACATCGAGACGATTCCAAGGGTAATAAAACCATTCGCCGTCGGCAAACATGTTAAAGATGCAGAGTGTGTGGTTAATACGGCACAACGATGTAATCACAGTTGTCACAGTGAGACGGCTTTGCTCTGTATTTACACAAAAAACTTCATGCATCAAACAAGGAAGTGACAAACTTCATTACAGAAACAATAATAATCAATATTTACAACATGAGGAATAAAAGAATGTAGGGAGGCTTGATTCTAATCTGGTTTAATGTATTCGTGTGTGTGTGTGTGTGTGTGTGTGTGTGTTGGTCACCGTTATTCCTGAGGCTCTCAAACTCTTGTGTCCCAAGCCCAGCGAGAGTGACGTGATATATTTTTTGAAATAAGCATCATCATTATCACACAAAAAAATGTCCAAAACTGTTTTGTTTTGAGAACTGCCTTCCAGCAGGATGAGCATATTAAAGAGGACAGGACCCAGAACAAGTGAAGCCGGCCACGCCCCGCTCGAGGGGCGGGGCAGCACATACTATAGATGCTAACACAGTGCTTGCTAAGATGGAGTGCCTGAGAACCATTGCAAGTTCTCAGGCACTCCATCCAACCATTGCAAGAGGAAGTCACAGACTCTGAAGTTGCAAACGAGCTTTAAGAGTCAAAAAGGGTAAAGACATGCAGACAAATCTTCATAAAATGTCTTTAAGTACAAACAATAGACATTTAGCAGTGCAGTTGAAATGACAGCAAAGGGGCTAGAGCTGCAGGAATTACACCGCTGATGCAGTTTTTTAATGTCCATGGGAAACCAGAGCCCAGACACAGGGAGAACAAGCAAACTCCATCTATATGCTCAAAAGCTGCTTTCAGAATCCACCATTGTTGTTTTGGGACTACAGTAGCAGCGCCATAACAGTAACATTAATCTACTTTAGTAATCACGGTGTCAAAGTGATCCTCTAGTGTCATCCAGCCATCTGCATCTGTATTTATCATTTTATGCTTTTGGGCCCTTTGATTTTTATAACGACCGTTTTGGCCCCGCGAAGCACAGCCAGCGCACTCCTTGGCCCGGCAGTGGGACAGTCCTCTTTTCCCTCACTTTTGTCACGCTGCAGTTAAAAATAAATAGCTAAAAGAAAGCAACTGAATGAGAGTGGGAGGATAATCCATG